ATATATATTTTTGTTTTTTTTGTTTTTTTTTTTTTAATTAAATAATTTTTTTTTATACCCCGAATTTTTTAAAGACTTAAGGTTTATAGTAAAACAAAATAATATATTTGAAAATTCACTAAGAAAAACCAACGCTCAAAGGGTAAACTGCTTAACTGTTGGCTGCTTAGGATTATGTTTCAAATATATATAAACACATATACTATTACCAAAGTCCATCTGCTGGTACGATATTTATAGCTTATATATCGTATAATATATAATTATCGTAAACTTTGTCTTGGCAAGTCTAGTTTAAAAACCCCTAGGCCTGCTGCATTTTCACAGAACTTCAATGAAATATTCATTGACCCATTGACGCTCTGAAGCACTCAACTTTGAGCATTATTTCTTCATATGGCCGTGCATGCATATGTAGTGTCGCATGTTGACAGCCATTCAGGTGACTTGTTACGGCTTTTACGACACTATTAACATCATGGTGCTTGAGATTTATGGATATAGTTCAATAGGCGCTGCAGCTCCTGTTCTTTTGAGCCATTTATCTCTGGCCTGTTTGTGTTTAATAGTATTTTTATGGTCAGCCATAAAAGAGGCAAGGCCGACAGGCAGGCAAGTGATAGTCGACCTCAAAGTAGACTAGCAAAAAAAGACAAAAAAAGCAAATCGAAGAAGGAGAAGAAGCAGAGAAACAACAAAGAGGCCATTAACTGGCAGTCAAACGAAAATGAGCAAAAGGCCAAACCACAGCTGCTTTGTTGATTTTGACATATGAGAATGATAATGCTAGCTGGCCTTAATTGTGCCCGACTTTTTGATATACTCTCCAAGCCCGGCTATAAACGCCAACGCAATAAGTTTGGCTGATGTAAGCCGCATTTTATGTTTGATTAAATTGATTTTTGGTCACGCAAAATATAATAATACTAAAATATATAATCAAAAATACTAAGCTGGAATTATTTGAGCAACAGATAACAAATATTCATTTAAGAAATAATAATGTAATAATTCATAAAAATTAAATTAAATATGTTGTAACAGCTTACAACATATTTAATTTAATTTTTTTAGTCACTATATTATTATTTTTGTAGAGATTCTCAGCTTCCAGATAATAAAAATATAAATAAAATAAAATTCTAATTAAGCATCTTGTACAGAGCATGTTTAAAGGTTTTTGCTTAGTTTCTTGCTCTCTTTTAGTATTTCGAGCTCTTTGTTTAATGGGCTAAATGCGTTGGCTCACTTAGCAGCGCGTTGTGCTTGTTGCTCATTTCTTTGGGCCCAGTCCAGCTCTCACTGCGGTACATCAATCAAATGCCTCCATAGCACTTAGCCGCCGCAGGAGTCGGCTGCTGGGCAGCATCTGGATGTTGTTGTTGTTGTTGTTGCTGTTGGGCTTCTGCTTCAGTGCTTCAGTGTGCTGAGTTGACAGTTTTCTCTTTGGGCTCGGCTTTTTTCATTTTTATTTCTATGCCAGCCTGTAACGCGGTCACTTGATGCGCAAATAATTGAAATTAATAAATTGAATTTAATTGAAAAGCGCTGGACAACTTGAGCACTTAAAGGCAGCCGTTGGCCCCACCCGAGCACTCCAGAGTCAATGAGTTGTGCTCTCAGGCTGCGCTTTAACTTGCTCGCAGAGGAAATGAAGCAGCCACACAGCTGTCTGGCGTGCTCAGCAGCTGCTGCTGGTGGCGCCACCACCGCCGCCGCCGCCGCTGCCTTTCAATTTCAATTTCCGTTGCACTTTGCATAAATCTCTTATCGTTCGAAAGATGGCAACAACTTGGCTGGGGGGAGCTGCTTTTTTGGCTGCGCCGTTTTTGGACCAACATTTTGTGCAAACAAGGCGACGCTCTGCGCAAGCAAGTTAATCGTCAGCTGTGCGCCATTCACTGAGCACGAAGACCATTTGAATCGCAATACGCCTGGCTGCAGCTGCAGGTTGAGTGGTGTAAATCCATGCAGCTGCCCGACTGCAAACTGCAAACTGCCAACTGCATTCCCTCTGTGGGGAGGCAGCTTACCGTTTTCCAGTTTCTTTTCATTACTTTTCCTGCAAAATTATGCGACTAAACAAGAAGCGACAACAGCAACAGTAACAGCAACAACAATAACTCGATGGCTAACCAGCTGCTCGACTCAATGGCCAACATGACGTATACGTAGTTTTTGCTTCAACAAACTTTCTAAGCCAAAAACTGTTCTGTTCAAATTTAATTTATGCACTGGCAAACACACACGAAAAAAGAAAGTAAATGTAAATAGACATAGGGAGAGTGAAACAGAGGGAGAGAGGGAGAGAGCAGCAAGTCGAGTGTAAACCACAAACTGTGCAACATGGCGTATACATAATATGAGTATGAGTGTGTATGTGCGTGTGTGTGAGTGTGTTTGGCATTTATGAAAAGTTACTTTTTGGCCTGATTAGATCATGTGCACGAACCACTGCTCGAGTCATTGACTTTGGAGCATTTAAGCCAAAACATTTGGCTCTCAATATTTCACTGCCTGACGATGATAAATTCGCTGTTTTTTGGCCAACCACAAGCTGAACAATTAGGCTAAGCTATCAATCAAGCTATTAATATCACTTGGCAAAGCGAGATTTCAATGCCAGTTAAATCGCAGCGCTTCAGAATCTGCCTAGCAACGCAAAATCAATTAGGTAAGTGGAATTCAGGCAGAGAGCCTGAATATGGACTTTTAGCTAATTGAGCTAGAGTTTGAAATAAAAAAACTATAAATAAAATAATAGATAAATAAATAATAACAAAATATTGCAGGTTTTTCGTGTGTATATATGTGTATAGGAGCACCGACACACAGAAATGTACACACACTCACATAAACTTTGATGAAACTGCGAACTCTACTCGCATTTTAGGCTGCTTTCGTCGTCATCGATGAATCAATCGATTTAACAGCCAGGAGACATCGCATTTTTTTTTTTATTAAGAAAATCAATATTTAGTCGAGTCCCTAGCTCTCTCAAAAATCGCAGTAATTAAATACATGTCAATCAAGCAGTATTAAAAAATAAACAAGAAAAGTTAAGTTTAAAATTAAAATTCAATTTATATTCAACATAAATTTTAGTTCAAATTTTAATCGGAAAAATTCCCTCTATTTATTTTTATGAGTTTGCTGCTTCGTTTATATTTTCCCTGCAAAAATAATTTTAATATTAAAAGTTGGTTTCGAAGTCTTGTATGATGCATAATGCAAAATATAAGGCCGTATAATTTGCATTTTTAGTTATTTGAAGCTTTAGGGAGTCCACTTTACTTCAATTTTAGTTTGGCTTGAAGGAATTTTACTCTATCCTATGATTGCGTGTGCTATATATTTCTATACAAAAATTTGTATATTTAATTTTTTTTTTTTTTTCATTTACAGCATGAATTAAAACTAATACTAATTAATACTACCCAGTGAGACGCTGTATTTATAGCTTTCAAAAGCCATTGAACAAAAATTAATAGTCATTGATATTATTGATTTTTATCGGGAATGGGTTTAAAAGCTTTACTCTGCATGATAATCAAATTTAAATATCTTTAATTTAATTCCAATGCCGATGCCTAAATGGCCAGACCGGCATTTCCATCATCGACTCAGCATGGGCTAAATGACGAATGACGACTTTCGAATAAGGAATATATATGCTAATAATGCTTCTACTACTGCTGCTACTGCCTATGCCTAATCAATAATACACAAGTTCCTTCCACATATTATACTCTGACTTCCCAATTCAATTTTCCGTTTCCGATTAAGGCTCTAACAAGCTAAATATGTATATATTTCTAAAAAAAAAAAAAAATAAATAAAATTA